CCTCAAGTGACTCTGGCCTTTTATTTCCACGTGAGATACACTCTGCATCCCACCAAACCCGTGCATCACCCGCCAGCAACAATATAACATAGACGATCGCCTGCTGCTCAGTACAGGCCACTGCATCCAAATAATCATCCACCGTACTGAGCCAGGACACAAAGTCCTGTCCTCACTCTCCAGTAAACACTGGTGGCTCATGTGGCTGGATATGAACTGCGAACGACGAGGACACACAGTCCTATCCGTGCTCTCCAGTAAACACTGGTGGCCCACGTGGCCCGATACGAACTGTGCATGGCGAGGGCACACAGTCCTGTCCGTGCTCTCCAGGATACACTGGTGGCCCATGTGGCCTGATACGAAATGTGCTCGGCACGGCTGTGTGGTCAGGCAATGTCTGTGTACGCGGCTGAGGAAATGTCCACTGACTCCGCATATCTGGCGAGTCATGCTGGGTACTGGTACCTGCCTGTGCCCCTGATACGATACGATCTGCATACTGCTCCATGGATAAAATACCAGTATGCAGAGGGGACTGAGGCCGTAGCTGTGCATCATCAGCTGCCTCGGATACAGATACACAAGTCACTGCTGCAGGGTGAGACACAAAGAGAGCAGCCTCAGGACCCATAGCCTCCTCCATCTCCGACCACATAAATGCCAATGGATCCCATCTCTCCGCCATAACTGCTCGCTCACGCAAAAACAGCAGAAGTGCAGAATACAGTAATGAATGCAAGAAGAATCCCCAAAAATCCCGGCAAAACTGATGAAGACTGAATGATAACTGACTGAGAACTGATGGTGCTGATACTGATACTGATGTAGTCGGTAGTCTGACCGCACGGAGGTCCAACCCTGGGTATATCCCAGAGCGTAGTCCCTGATGTCGCTCAGAGAAGCCCCAGGATCCACCAAATGACGTCTCCAAGTCAGCTGGGTACTATACTTCCCCAACCAACAAGGTGCCAAGTGGCTTCACCACAACAGTTCCAGAACAGCCCTTTACAACCAGTTTCTTCCTAGGTTAGCAACAGGGAATTTAAGAATACTCAAAGAGTACTTTACTCACCCCTCTAAAGAGAGGCTTCCCTGCCACACCCCCGGGAATGCCACCAGTTGATCAGAAACTGAACCTTTCCTGTCCCCCTTGCCTGGGGAGGACTTCCCCGGGAACGGCCACACAACTGCCTCACGTCCCGACCCGCTCGAAGCCCCTCCGCCACACCTCGCCCGGATGGCAGCTCGGGGGCACTGGTCTAGGCTAGGAACAGTAGAAGTGTCTGCGCAGCACTATAGGCCGCTCTTCTACCGTCCTGTGTCGTGAGCGATAGGCACCAAGAGCTCCCCCTCTGACCGCCGCCTGGGGGGCTATATAAGGTGCAAGCCGGTCCGTGTCCCGTCTACCCACTTCTACTGGCACCCCCCTAACAACTGTGGGGCGGCCGCTGGCTTCAACTTGGGGTCAGCCTTTTTTCTGGATAAGGTACTGTTGCCACCAGGCGGGCCTGTAACCCTTCACAGTTGTCTAGGCTGGTCAGGTACAGTCCATGACTTTCAGCCCTTCGCCCCCCGACCTCCTGGCCAAGTTCCCTAACGGAGTGGGACGGCCCCCTGCTTATCATCACCTACTCGAGGCTCCCCGGGTTCGGTGCACCGCACCCTACCGCCTCAGAGGTCGCTCGTGTTCGCACCCCATCAGCCTTTGCAGCCGCCGCATCCGCAATACCGCGGCGACGAAGCTGTCGCCCACCCGCTAGGAAATGCTCTCCACCCGCCGAGAGGCAATCAACCCCCTCAGCTACTCCAGACGAGTCCTCTAGGAAGCTGCTCTCCACCTGCTGAGGGGCAAACAGTCCCCCCAGCTACTCCAGTCGAGTCGCTGGCAGCCGCTCTCCACCCGTTGAGAGGTTGTGCAGACCCCTCAACTACTCCAATGTCGTAGTAGAGAACCGCTATCCACCAGCCGAGAGGGTTTATGGACCTCTCAGCTGCTCCTGACGCAAGCAGAAACTTCCAGGTAGGCTCCCTGGAGTGGGGAACCACCTTCCTCCCGGATCCATCACGGTGCAGAGTCACAGGGCGAGGCACAGGTCACTTGCAGGCCCTGGCAGGTCGCTACTCAGCGCCCCCCCCTCGGAGGTCGCTACTCGGGAACCCCCCCGCCGGCAGTACACGGCGCGGGCGGATTCCCACAGCTTCCCCCCGTCACGTCACTCGGAGGGGTCCAGTCACGCCTGCGTCGACCCCCGCGACCCGGGGTGCCTCCCCCACTCGTTCACTCCGCTCTCTGCGCCCCTCCACGAGCCTGGCGCCCGCCGGCCTGCGTCCCCCGCCGCCGATTCACCGCGCGGGTCCGCGGATCACAACCCCCGCCGCCGGGCCCGGATGCCCCGCGCAAGCGGTGTCCTCCGATTCCCCGATCCGGCGGTCCAATGCCGCGGAATGCGCCCCCCGCCGTCGGGCTCGGCGCGCGGATTCCCAAGCCAACGCCCCCCGCCGTCGGGCTAGGCGCGAGAAGCAGCAGAACACGCCCCCCTCCTTAGGGCCAGGCGTTCGGTCCGGTTCGGATTCCCCCGCCGATTCAGGCGGCGCCGCGAGGCGTCCACCTGGCCGGCCTCTCTCCTTGGATCTCTCGCGAATGGGGGCCCTCCCGCCGTCGGGCCGGGTCCCCTCGGCTCTCATGCGCCGCGTGGCGCGCTTCCGCTCTCCGCGTCCGCCGGCTCCGAAACCACTGGCGTGGTTGTCGGCTCGATCCGCGGGCGATGTGCCCGCCGCGGCGCCCAATCCGGCCGGAATGGCCTCCTCCGCCGAATGACGGCGGGCGGTCCGGGGCGCTCGTTCCTTCGGGGTGCGCAGTGTGGGCCCAGTCCTGCGATTCGCCGGGCGCGGGGCGGCAGTGCGCGCGACGCCGGTGCGGCCTGCGGGTGCAGCCGCGCGGAGGCAAGTGGTCAGCAAGAGTTACAACTGGTCGGGCATCGGGGCCACCCTTTGGCGTGCCCCGCATCACGTGACAATGCAGCCAACGTCACCGTATCGATAGTATCTCATCCCCCAGTACGGTTGTGGAGGCGTCCCTAAGTACTGTAACTTCTAGTAACTATATCTCCACTACCGCTAACCCAAATGGAGTGATTCAAAAACCTATGGGTTCCTAGTAAGCTCTACTAAGAGATGAGATTGTTCTTTACTGTTCATTGTACCTCCCAGATACCCATAATCAAAGAAACACACTACCCCCTGTGCTTTACACCACATCCTTGCTAGGACCTGCATCAATAGCTATGGTTCTATAATGTGAGACACTATTACCAGCATTGAGCAATCGCTCAGCGACACTGCTCTTGCTCTTGCATGAAAGAAATCATACATAAGAAACGGTTCATGCAGTAGTGGAGCTGGTTGCAACCATTTGATTGAACTACACATACTTGATTAGGGCCATGCATTGTCATCACTTATTTGTGTAAGGCAATAAGTATACGTAGAGCGTTTGCAAGTGTAGGCAGATTTGAAACTTGTTGAGTATCTAAATCATCATTGGCAGTTGATGGAAGTCCACGCATTGATTGTGATTCATGAAATCACCACTTATAATTGATAACAAAACATGGCATCAACTATCTCGGTCCTCCCTTGGCTCCTGTACTGCTGCGCAGTAGCAAATATGGCATTGCCCTGTTCTGGTGTTGGAATTTATGACAGTACAAACCAAATTCAATAGATCAGCTCTAAAAGCATGATATCCCCAAGCTCTTGGCCCCTCTCCTATTGTTCCCATCTAAATAGGAAGTAGATAATATACCATAGCTTTACCTATTCTATTTCAGGAAAGTCAAACATAGTGCACACGATCCTGTTTTTTGAAAACATGCCGTGTTTGATTGCTATCAGAAAGATTGACCGTTGTATATTCATCGCAACTCAACCAACTGGTAATCACACCAAAATGTAGTAAAGCCATAGGACCAAAGTTGTTGGCACACCAGCTACATCTGATTGTGATGACGAAATTCGTTGTCTATCTTCTTGCCAGGGCTGCACCACCACAACAAGGCGACTAGACAATGTGCCTTCAAATAAATGCATAATTTCATCCATAACATCAGGGATGCCATTGATCTACATTGCCCTATTAACACATCTACCATACTCATGCCACCTGGGGCGCTATTCAAAACAATATGCATGCGTTCAACCCCCCATGACATGGAGTTTGTGGTACCATGTGGGGCCAGCGTGTTTTCACTCTGGCGTTTTCTGCCTTCATCCGACAATCCCGTTGGCTTCGACGTTTGGTTAAAACGTGCAGCTCAACAACAACAAGCACAATGATGTAGAGAAATTGCTGCCGCAGCCTATTTGCCCCCAACTTAATAGATTTCACTTGAAGATGACACCATGTTCAAGATATCCTTGCCCTCAAACGGGGAGCTCTTGCCATCTTCCCGCACAACTGTCAAGGCACTGCATCCCGCCATTTCGTCCGGAATGGCTCCGCCAAACACCACAGGAACCCGTTCCCCACGCCAGAAACCCCCAGGACCTATGCAGTGCCGTCACAATTGCCCAGCTCATTCCACTCGACATGCTGGTTCCAACGAGTATGTTCCCCAAACTGCCCACCACACACCGCCTCCGCGCCCTTCCAGCCATATCGCCAGACAACATCGACGCTGCCCGTGCCACCTAGGCACCCATGCCCCGTACTAATCCCATTGTTGGGTGGAGGGGGCGCCGCCCGCATTCGTGCGTCCACAGCACCCACACGTCAGCTCCAGACGTCACAAAAGCCACCATCCACCATAGCCACACCAATCGCGCCCCCAACGAAAGTTCACCCCCGACCCGCAACAAAGGCTCTCATTAGAGGCGCCAAACCCGCACACAGGCGACAACGTCCCCGCCGCCCGCAACCCAACAGGCAGCCCAGCCAGCCCTGAGACGCGCAGAAGAGTCCCCGCACTCTTTTCAGCTGGGAGCAGTTTGTCATTGCCATGGAGGCGGGTTTGGAGGGGCTGTCCCGGTGCGGGGCGACGCGGACGGCCGCCGGTTGCCGGATTGCGGGCATGGCGGCTCGACACAGATCAGTGCGGTGGAGGCACGTGAGGGCGTACCGGTGCCGCGCCGCGCCGCAGATGCTGCCCGGATCCTTGGCCGGCGCGGGCGTCGACGAGTCGGCTGGATCGCCGGGCGGGATGACGGCGAGGAGAGGTGGGCGAGCAGCTGGCGCGCAGGGAGATCTGAGGTGTCCGGAAGGTAGCTCGCGGAGAGTAGGTGTTACTGGGGATAGGCCGCGGTGGTGGCGTTGTCTGATTGCGCGAAGAGATCGCCTGAGTGGTGTTGTTGTCCGCGGGAGCGTCGGGCCGAGTCGGGGCTTTGGGAGTGCAGACTGTTGTGTGTGTCCCTTTGCGCCGCCGTGTTGGGCCATACCGTTGATTATCACTTGCGCGGAACTGGCGGCGCGAGTCGCTTTCGCGTTGTGTCCATGCAGCGTTGGAGACGACCGTCGCTGTTGCGCGCAAGCCAATCAAAACTGGAGGATAAATGGGCAAACGGGATCAATGGGCAAACGGGATCAATGGGCTGTAGAACAAGTTTCAAACTGTGGATTTTAGGGTGTGGACTTATGTTCTCCCTTTCTTGCTGCTGTGGCATTGACCACGATCATGGGCCACTGTGTGTCCTTCCGAAATCTTGGGACATCATCGGAAGTGCTGGCGCCCTTCCTGCGAATCCTGTACTAAGCCGACAATAAGCAATGGAAGGTCTGCAAGATCGCAGATCCTTGATCAGATGCATTGGGCCCTCTACAAGGGCCCAACTCGCTCAGTATCATCAAGGAAAAGGAACACTGCAGTTGTTTGTTGTGGAGAGTTGAGGGACGGAAAACCCGTCTTTGATCTGAGCCCCTGCACTTTGTACTGGATGGTTTAGCATGTGCTCATCAGACTGATATGCGATCCCACACAAGGTCCGCGTTTTGGATCTATTATTTGACTGTTGCCATGGCTTGCTTCAGCAGCACTTGCTTCGTTGGGCAACCAACTTGTTGTTTCCAGGGAGCTATTCTCATGTGCCTTAAAGACCCATTCAACTGCTGCTGGCACCATTTTCTATGAACACAGGCAACAGCAACTTTGCACAGCGCTGTGCTGTCTATCATGGGGAAGGTGCTGCCTGTAGACTTGGTAGAAATGTTATCCTCAGGACCTGACAGCAATGTTCCCTTTCGTGCACTTACATGCACACAGCGATTGACTCCTGGATGGCTGCAACAGGTTCAAGAACCACGGTGCGGCTTGTGACCCGCATGGGGAACCCTGGTGCCAATGGGCCCTTTGCTCCACTGGTGCGCATTTTGAGGCAGTTTGTTGGTGCCAAGCGGTTCAATCAGCTCAGAGGGAAGGCCATCTCGCTGCACTCGCAAGTTATCAAACAATTCTGTAGCCAGGTTGGCTCCTCCAAAAAGCAAGCACAGGGGGTGATCCGGTTGGCGAAAAAGAATGGCGAAAAGCTGGGATTCTTGGCTTGACCTGTGCCAGAGATTCAGAATAATTGGACCAGCTTCGTAAGGGTTGTCGTTGCTGGGCGTATTGCTTCCTGGTAGTGGTGCAAGAGTAGCACTTTTGAGACGAAAAACGCGCGACGGGATTTTTTAACTGCGGTAGCCTGTGCAGTGCTTTGAGAGGTGGGGAAGACGGCGACACAGCTGTTGCTCGTCATTGGGGTGGTTGGGTCCGAGCATGGCACGTTGATTTGGGTGTTTCAGGACGCCTGGTCAGTTTGGGTGAACGATCGCAAGTCTCACATGAACAGTCCATCAAAGGGATGTCGTTCTCTCCTTGCATTCCTTTTGTTGGATGTTCCGGGATTTAATTCATGGCGTATCTGAGCGATTGTTTATATTTGGTTTCAGTTGCCGACTTTCCTGGGGTTAAACGCCCCTGGTGCTGCCGTTTGCTGGAGTTCGGCTGTTGTCTTTACGACCTGTGTCTGCCCTGTTCCCTGGCGCCCACCCTTACTTGCCCACAAACCAGAAGGCTGCAACAGCCATTACCCATACAGCTTGGTGGCTCCTGCTTACATAATCAATGCCACTAGGTCATGCCGCTGTCCCTGTGATCCTATATTAGATATCATCTGAACGGTTCCAGCTCAAACCATGCAATCTGCGAGTGCCATCTGCCTGGTTGTCGAGTTTGCACATGTGATGCAAAACGTTGTTCGATGTGCCTGCAAAATGACTCGTTGCACAAGTCATCTTTGCAATGAAAGGCCATCAAAAATGAGCAAAAGAAAGGTCAGAAAGACCATCAGAATACGGGGCCCACCATACCAAAAGAACAAACAAAAAGGAAAGAAAGAAAGAGCAGCAGAGTACCCAAAATGCTGGGGAAACACTGCCAAAATTTGCCCAGATTATTGTTAATCGTTGGGGGGTATGATGAAGGAACTGGGGATGTGGAAGGTTGCGCCATGTGGGTGCCATGCCACCCGTTGCCTTCCTATGAGCTCTATGGCCTCCAGGAGTTCTGTGACCTTGTGCGCAGCTTTGAGATTTGCGGTTAGAGTCTTGCCGCGTCATTGTGAAGTTTTCAGTCTGATTTTGCACCCTGGAACGTGTGAATTCGCAGTCCAAACGGACTGAGAGGGGGGCGCTTCATGTGCTGTGAACTATCGGGCCAAGAGGGTGTGCATGGGAGGTTGAAACACTGGTCGAACTTTGCTTTTACATGGCGGTTTGTTGAGCAGTTCCGGAGGGAGTTTTTGGACGGTTTCATGGAGAGTTTTCAAATGCTTTCATGTGGAACCACGTTGAGAGCGAGTGAGGCAGGTTGCTGCCCCTCGCTGGCTATTTAAGGGGGCTGGCCATGCCAGGGGGCAGACTCGACCCCGGACAGCAAGTCCTAGCGGTTGTAACTGTACCGCTTGCTTCCGTATCGTCTCCGTGTGCCTGCTGGTCAGTCCGGTTTGTTGAGAGGTTACGACCGGCCCTCTCGCATGGTGGATCCAGGCATCTGAACGACAGCATCGCAGACGGACAGCGGCATCGACCACCGAATATATTCAATGTCGCAGCAGGTGACTGAGGCGGGCATGGTGATGACTGAAACCGTGGGGGGGAAGGTCTCGGGCGGACATGTGAGTTAATGCTCCCAAGTTTGCTCGTTGCACTGTGCCATGAGTCATGGCGCAGCGGTGGGTCGAATCTGGCTTCGGTGCGCATGGAATCCCAGCTCGCGGGTGCCAATCATGATGGGACGCCGTGGGGGCCGTGGTGGGGAGGTGACGGCTTGCATGTCGATCGCAAGTGAAGTACACGCGTGCGGACCTGTTCCATCGTGGAAAGTGACACATGTCGGCGGGGATTGTGATGAGAAGAAACTGATGGCCAGCGTGATACGTATGAGGTCTAGGCCGAGAGTCACGTAACCGTGGCAGAGGCGGATCGGTCAGGGCTGGCGTGCCCTAATGTGAATGACCCGTACCGGCACCCCACGCGCCCACTACTGCCTTACGTGAGGTGCAAGTAGTGGGAATCGCCAAGGGGACGGGTGACCGGCACCGTATTGCCGCCACAATGTACTACTGTGGGTACGGCGGTGAATACAACGTCCTCTTAAGTACTGGAGCACAACCAAGGGGTGCGGGGAGTATTTTGTGGCACGCTGCCAGTACAGTGGGCGAGCGCGTGGTGTACTACCGGCTACCTAAAGTACTAGAAGTAGTGAATTGTATTCTAAGGCAATGGGTGGCATCCAAAGAAGCTGTGGGGAAGCTTCCCATCTATCTTTTGACCTCATCCTTGTTCATTTACCCCATTTTTGCGAGCATGAGCGAGCAACCGTCCATTTCCAAGTTAGCAGAGGTGAAGAGATTCTGCCCTTGAATTGATGCGAACAGGGGCTGCACCAAAGCCAAGATGCCAAGAACTGCCGGCAAAGACAATAGTACAACTTCTAATGCAGCACGGCACTGGCTCAAAGGACTCTTTCCCAATGTCTCTGATATGTTGGGTCATGAGCTTTTGAGTTGTTCCCGCACAACGCGCCCTCGTCCATCTACGCAGCACAAACACGGTGGAGCGCATGCTATTTGGCAACTCGGCGCACTGAGCAGGCTCGTGGTAGCTATCTCGATCAAAGTCAAAGCAAGCCACACGACTGACAAGCGCCCTTTGCAACCACATAAGGGGCCAGTAAAGGCAACAGCATGACGCTGTCACCAGGCACACAATGTTATAATTACAGTAATAGTAGCCAGGTTTGTGCTCTCCTTTTCAGCACGACATTGGAACCTTGTCGATGGTTCCACAAGTCAGCCAACAATTCCTCAGTTGCAACTGCTGTCTGGGAGCCAGCAAAGTGCAGGGTTTGAAAGAAAGAACAAAACGTCACAACAAACAGCAGATGGAAATGCACTACATACATCCTGACATAGCACTTCGGCAGCAGGAGTGTTGGTTCAGATCGAGTAGGAGGTTTCGTCGTCAATACACTGTTCAGGCATCGGGTTTCGGCATCATTACCAACACTCCGCATTGCACTGGCCTCAGGTAGGCCACCAATCAACAACATCCTGTCAGTACACACTGCCAAACTGAAACGCTTGTCAATGCACAGATTGCCACACCACCAAACCTGCTGTCATGTGGAGTGCAACGAGTTGGTTTCCAAAACACAAAACAAGTAACCATTGTTCGCATGGGAACCCATGGTGGTCGTGGAACAGCACCCTAGCAGACCATCATAACAACTACTCGTATTGTGTGTCTTCACAGAGTGTCTGAGTTGGACTTCTGTTTGAAATCATTTGGTCTGTCTTAGTTGGAGTTCTCCATGAAATCGTTTGGTCGTCTAGAAAAAGACTAATGGGGCGCGCAACAGAAGAGACGACAACACAGAACCGAAGAGTGTGGCATCAGATCCTAGCATTTTCAACCAGCACCGGTTGATGCAAATTACCCTGGATCGAACATCAACTGCCACAGCAACAAGTTCTGACCCGAGAACCTGCGACAAAGCGCTGCCAGCTGCAAGCGCAAGAGAACAGGAACGCGACACATTTGCGAGAGTGCGCATCTGCGTATGCTGCGTCGCCAGGATGGGACTCCCATTACTGTCAGCACCACAGCCAAGTGGAGGTTTCTCGCCATAGCACAGATTGCTTCTGAGAAATCAGCTCTGTGGTCATCCCCCAGTGCGACGATGGCAGCGCAGCAGTGGTGAATTTACAAGCACATCGCAAGGGACCGGCAGACGCGCCGCCAAAGGCGAGGCCGAAGGAAAGAATGCAGGCTGCATAATCCCGGCAGCAAAAACCAGGAGCTCCAGTGCATTAGAATGATCCTTCAAGCGCCTAAGGAGGCCGCTGGGATCCGATCTGCTTTCCCACTGAGCCAGGCGATCTGAAGGGCGACAGCAGCAACCTTCCATGTGACGATTGCCACAAAATGCCAGCCGCCACGCTGCTCCGCCAGTTTCAGGACGTGGCAAGGCCGCCACGCCCCAAGGGCAGGCCTCCCCTGGCACGTGCGAGAGCGCAAGCCCATCACGAGACCAGAGCTGACCGTGGAGAACAGGCCCCGGCGCCGCCGCGCCCGTGGCGAATGCCGGGGCCCTCACAATCGGAATGAAAAGATCCAGCCGCACGGCGGAAATTCCAAGCACACGATTATCGGAATTGGTGACACTGACGAAGACAGGCACAGTCGAGGGGTTGGGAACCCTGGCTGGGGACCGTAGGCTCGAGTACACGGCAACATTTTACAGCGGAGCAAAGGGACAACAGGAATTCTGTCCCTTGCATATGGTCTGCTCATCAGCGTCATTAATGCAGTTCATATTGTCTCATCATCTCTTATTGTGTCCAGGTAATAAAAGCACTCGATCAGTTCTCGTTACAACAACACCTCAGCGCGCCACTGAGCTTTTCCTTTCCGGGGGGGGAGGGGGGGGCGGGCGGGCGGGGGAGCTGGTGTTGGTTTGCCTGCCGCTTCACTGATCCAGGACGATTGAGGTGTCCTCATCCTAAGATAGAGTGTCGGTGGAAGAGCCGCAGGGAGAATGAATCTCGCTCAAGCAACACCAAATGCACACATCAGTAGACAGCAAAAGTATTCTTCAGAAGCAGCCAACCACAAGGGTTCCCTCACCACCAGTAAGCAATTATTATTGTGTGATCACGGCGTCAGCGCCCCAGCCGCCCCGACTGGGAGCGGGAAAGGCCACCGCCTGCAGCGCCTTCTCCGATTGGGCCACGGGCGCAGGGCGAACGCGCAACTGCTCAGGCCAACGTTTCCTCCTCTAGAGTATTGCGGAAAGCACTAGAATAGAACCGTTATTCGCATTTTGACGCCCCTACCCAGGCCCAGGCCCGCCGCTCAAGGTCATCAGCGCGCCCGGGGTCCGCCAACCCTTCCCAGATACGCGCAGCGAGGGCAATCGGCAGACCCACACGCCCCTGGGACGCTCCCCGTCGAACCGAGCGTCGACTGGGCGACACGCCTTGCCCACCCCACCGGTCGCCACCACACAGGTCGCCGCCTGGGATTCGTCTGCGCCCCGATCTGTTTCATCTTTTGATATCGAGCCCCCCCGGGGGGGAGCAGGGCCAGGAGGCGGGCCGCGTCGCGTGGGCAGCCGGAGATGCGGTCCCGGAAGATCGCCCTATGCGTGGGCGTGTGGTCCTCGCGGGAGAACCACTACGCGTGGACGTTCACCAAGAAGAGGCTGCTGCAGGTGCGCGGTGGCCCGCGCCCCGCGCCCGGGGGGGGCCTGGCCGGCTCGCGGGCGGGACAATCGGCTCGCGGCGCCCCGCCAATCACCGCAACAGGATGAGCTGCAGGGACCTCCCCGCGGGGCTTAACGACTCAGAAGGCCCCGGGGGTGATTGCTGGGAGTGGGGGGTGCATCTGGGGAGGCGTGCTCCCGTTGGGCACATCCCCTTGGCCCCTCCCAGGCTGCAGCCCGAATCCTTCTCCGGGCACGGTCGACCGCCGCCGGCGGCAGGCGCGGCCGGCTGGGACCCGCCGCGGGAAGCCCCCGTTGCCCCGCCCGCTGCCGCGCCACAGCTCGCATCAATCTTGCCCTTGCCATCCCCGCCTGGACGGCAGTTACTCGCGCGGCCCACATGCGCTCTCCGCCTCGCTGATTGTTTGTACACGCCTTGTGGGAGCCAGGACCAGCAGCGGCCGTCGCATGAGGACCAGCTTCTGATCGTCCACGTGAAGAAGGCCAAGGACCCATGCCAGTGGCGCGTGGGCGGGCCGGCTCTCCCGGACGTCACGTCCGCCCTGCAGGAGCTCCGCAACAGCTGCACGGTGGTCGAGCTCGAGGTGCGGCGTGGCGACACTCCGCCCGGCGGTGGAGGCTTCTCAGTGCTGACGAGCGCAATTTTGGGTCGCTGCCAGGCAATGAGAGCATGGCTTCTGCCCGAGTTCGCGCCAGTGCCAGCAGCCTGGCTGGCCCTGTGATGCCCCGGGGCAAGGGACCGGGTTCCAGCAGGGTGCCTCAACCCAGCGGTGTTTGTTGACTTGTTGCCCATCAGCGTGTTGCCGGGGCCAATCCTGCCTCTTTTGGTGCACAGGGCGACCCGGTCACGGAGCTTTTGAAGTTCGCTCAAGACAGGGAGATTCACATCATGATACTGGGTATGTGACTGTCCCTTCTGGACCAAATGCGTCAAGGGTGGTGCCCCAGCCATAGGGAGTGCGTGCGCTTCAAGAACGTCTGTCACAGTCGGGGTCCTGACTGGCATAAGCCCCAACTTTAAACCCCAGTCATCGCCCAGTCAGGACAGTCACGTGCCAGTTATGGCCCTGACTCTGACTTGTTCTCTTAACGTGCAGACAGCGCCAAGGGGGGCGAAGGTGCCACCAGAATATGCGAAACTGGAGGTCACAGACCTCCTGCCCGCAAACTTGCATGTGTACTTGCCGTGCCAGATGCATTGAATATTGATGCTGCAGAGCCAGCAAGCCTGCATGGATGGGCTGTTGCTGTAGTCCAGGCAATGGAGCATTTGCTGGTTCATTTGAATGGAAAGGAAGTTGATATTGCCAGGAGACTGGCGTGCTAATGAATTGCTGCTGTCACAGGCTCCAAGGGTCGTAGCCGTGTGAAGCGCACAGTGTCCAAAGGCACAACCGTTCGGGTGGTTCAGCAGGCACCCTGTGCTTGTGTGGTGGTGGGACCCAAGGTGGGAGGACAGTTGCTTGCCTGGTGCATCCTCTCACATTGTGTTCGGGCATTGAGGCAGCCTACCTGCAGCCACCAAAACAGTGCAGTGCCTGTGTCATGGCTGTGTGGTAGCTGTATACAGGAGAGCTGGTGGATGAGAATTTGAGTCGTCTATACCTTGTAAAGAGGTTGTTGAATGCCCAATACACCGTGCTTGCTTGCACTGAGTTCTCAGATTCATGGCACCTGAAATGAGTGAGTGCCCTGTCTACCTGATTTGCTTGCATCTAAAAAAAAATCTCCCATTCCACCCCCTACTCACTGTCAATGGGATGGATCACACAGGTGATAAGTGTGTGGTCCTGTTTGGTCGATTTGCGTGAAATTCCTTTGTTACAAACAGAGTGAGAAAAATGTTCCTGATCCACCAACGGTGCCCATTCACAAGAAATGCGATGCAGGGCTATTGAGAACCAAGCGTCCAAATCCCTTGTCCTGCAGAAATGATGACCATCCCACAGCCAAAGAGGTTGCTCAGGAACTCACTCTAAACACTCCAAACTGAAACCAATTAAATCCAGATGGATTGGTCGATTTGTGTGTGATCTCAGTTGCTTCAACCACTGTCACCAAGCCCCCAAACCTGTAAACCCTTGCCCTACGAATGAGATCTTGATCAAACAGCAAGATGCAATGATTCTGCATTGCGGGTGCGTGTGCATGCTGGTGCACTTTCCACAATTTTGCCTGATGCGCTGCTGGGCTTTCCTTCTTGCATGCGCTCTGCTATATCCTGCATTGTAGGTCACAATGAAAGCAGGGACATTTTGCACACTTCTGGGTGGATTCCTTTCCATGTTTGTTGTGGATGTTACTGTGATTGTCAAGCACGAGTGTTATATTGAGCAAAAGATCCCCCCCATTTTGGGGGGTTGCGTTTTCTCAACACAATGTTGTGTTGTGCTTTCCAACACATGCACATGGATTATCTGGAAGAAGCACAAACTCTGGGGGGGTTTGGGGATGATGTCATCTGAAGTGCAGCTGCCTCCAGTGTTTTATCACTTCAGTTTGGCATTTGCTGATGCGATATTGGTGTACCTGTGCAGCTGAGTTGTGGTGAGCATTTTCGAATTCAAGCTGCCAGACAGCCAGAGGTAGGTGGAGGGTGGTTATTTGGTGAGCCTGAGTGCCAGGAATTGTGGGTGAGTCTGTATGTCGTTGTGCAGACTATGCCATAGCGCTCCTAGACTAGGAGGCCAGCAGTTGTGGTGCAAACATTGCAACAGGGAGGGAACCCATTCCTGCAAGGAGCTTGCCCGTTTTCATCTTTGGAAAGTTTTATAAAAACCATGAACTTGTACACAAGCATGAATGCAGCATGAGGGACCCTGCTCCCATTTGTGAAAAATGTGGGTACTGCTATGCTCGTTTGCTTGTGCTTTGCATCTGAACCGTCAACTAGTGAATAATCATCTACGAAGCATATGCTTATTTTCTTTGTCCCATTCTGCTCAGTATGCCATTCTGGCAGGCCCATTGTTGAGAAAGCCTGACCTTGTGTGAATTGAAGAGGACATGGTATTGGAAGCTGGAATGGAAGGCCAAAATAGGACGATCGGAAATAAGAAAGATATATGAGTGTGTTGAATGTAAGCAATACAAGAACATGAAGAAATCCTGCAAAGAAGGACCACTCAGGCACATGCAGATGCGAAAAGGGAAGCTGAAAATCTACACAAGCTGCTAGGCGAATTTGTTCAGTTGCTAATTGTAGTTAACTGCAGCAAAAGCAGCATCAGTTTTGTTCGGCCCAGCTGATGAGTTGTTGACCACAGGGCATCGAGCCAATGATGCAGTTTGGTCGGCGGGTAGCCATTGTCCTGAACGCCGGCCCCTTCGACCCGAACATCGTCCAGTACGCTGCAAGAAATGTGCTGCTGGCCGGCGACCGTGTTGTCCTTGTCCGCTGCATGTCCAAGGAGGTGCTGAAGCGCAGCTCCAAACAGCAGCCTGAGCAGGAGCGCGACAATGTTCGAGAGATTGGGCGCAACAAGCTGAGTGGTGCACAAGGTGTTGCAATGGCTGTTGAGGTGCTCAAGGTGAGATTTCTGCTGTGCGACCTATTGAAGTTCTAATTCAACTGGTTTTTATGTAGAGTGCTGACAATGTGCAATTGCTCACAATCACGGTTGGACATGCCCCAGTTTCAAACTGGTTGTCATCTATGTTTTCTGTACAGGGAGGGCTGAAGATGATTTGCAATTTTGTCGAGTCCAAGGGGATAGACCTTGTGGTGATGGCCAGGGAGCAGAAGCTTCTGGTTCGGAGGTCGCTGTCTGGCATAGGTGAGCCTGCACTGCTACACACCGTTTTGGGGCATGAGAATCGCGGTTAAACATGGCACAGAGGCACAGTACTGCTTGGGCCTGTGGAATGGTTTGGATGATGCCTGAGCTTCACCAAATGCCGAGCAGGACTGTCTTCCTCATTTGCCTTGCTTGGCTGTCCTCCTCAGTGTTAGGCAGTCTTGAGACGTGCCAAATCAACAAAGTCCACCACCTGGTCGACTTTCTGTTCTTCCCTTCATTTCCTCTTTGTGGCATCCTGCCAGGGTGCTTGTGTGGCGCATTCAGTCTTGAGCACAGAGCAATGCTTCCAGGGACAGATGCTGTTAGGCCCATTGTTCCACAGCAAACTGTATCGCCACACCACACTGGTTCGAATGGTCAGCGATGATTGTTGCTGTTGCTCAGATTGCACAGACCACCTAACACCAGGAAATATTGTGGGGCTTATTTGCTATTCTATTTTTCCTGGTCAGCAATGTCGATGTTGCTGTACCTTCATTTACATTTGAAAAAACTTGATGCACAGCTTCATCAAGGAAAGCGAAATTACAAAGGAGCTGGTCGCCCATGTCGCCCCTCCGGTGCCTGTACAGCAAGTCTTCCTCCCCAGAGAGTCCGTCTGCTGCTTTCGTTATTCCACACTTATTGTAGGTGCACCAATAATGGTCTGCGCAGCTTTTGCATGCTTTCCAATTTCATAACTTCTGTGTTATGAGGGGCCAGATTGACATTCTGCATGTTTCTCTTTGCTAGGCTCAGGACCGCCTCCACTGAGCGCCCTGTACCATCGCTCTCCCTGCCCCTGCATGATCGTGCCCATGGAGTGCCTCCAGTACGACTGGTCCAGCTCCTCCAGATCCTCGGCAGTGAGCAGCCAGCGCGACCCACTGTCCTCCTCTTCCCAGTCCCGCATCAACGCCTTTGGGCGGCAGGTTGCCACCCCGATCGCCAGCCGCCTCAGGAGCTTTGGCTCGCGCCAAGGCAACCTGAAGAGCCTACTGACATCAAAGTCCGGTGGGCAGCTGCTGTTGGGCCAGCCGCCCACCCACCAAAGTGCGACGATCGACAATGCCCTGATTGGCCGATCGTCCGGGGCGAGCATGGATTCCACGCAGAGTGTGCTGGAGGTTATACGCGATGAGGAGATCGAGTTGGAGGCAATCGAGGAGCTTGATTTGGATCAGGCCGCCGAGCTGGACAAGGGTGAGGGCATGACACCCAGGAATTATGAGATGTCCCCTCATGACAAGGGCGAGGGCACGACACCCAGGGGCTATGATGTTTCCCCTCTGGCATGCCACCAAGGTCAAGACCAAGAGGGAGGAGATGATGGGGAGAGGTCTTTGGCAGGGGTGCCTTCTGGGCCTGTCCCTGATGAGATGCCATCAGAGTCGCAACAGGCCAGCCCAGGGCCCCGGGCTGAGGGCGCAACACCGCGTCGCCGCTCTGCCAGGCCTCGCAGGATGGATAGCAGCAGGTCAGAGGGGTCACTGGATTTCAGCATCGACCCAGGTGCCATGGGCGACGTTGTCAATGCTTTGAAGCAGCAGCTGGCAAAGAAGGACGAAGAGATCCTGCTGTTGAAGGAGCAGATCAGCAAAATGTCGACTGGCTGAATTCTGGCTTCTTTGTTCGGCAGGTATTGGGGCTTGGTGGGGAAGTTGGGGGCAGGGGGTGTGGGACGGAGATCGTCTTTCTGAGTCAGGTGGGTGTGGGGAAAGGAAGTGGGTGGAACAGGAGGAGTTGCTGTGATAGTTGGGCTTTTTGATGTGCTCGCTGTGCTGTCTTGCCCGTGCTGACACGGCAATAAAATTGTTGGTGTTTTGTGGCTGGCCCAGCTTTCCTTGTCAAAGGAGAAGAGCGCTTGATGGCGATTAGCTGCTGGCTGGAACCACTCTCGACCCAAGAAGGACGGTTGGCAATAAAGGCACAGGGGGGTGTTAGAATTAGAGTGGGTGGGGACTGTAGGTCAGAGGGCCTTTGGCGGGACGAGTTCAGGGAGGAGGTACACCACTCCTGCACATGAATCGAGCTCCCCACATTCGACTGAAGAGGCCAAAACTAGATGAGAACGTCATGATTTGCAATTGAATTCCCTGGCGGGTTTTGTACGATGCTTCCTTGCGTATGCCCCGACTCTTGCTGCATCCTGATGCATATGCGTTTGCGACTCGGGCATTGTACTTCAGAGAAGTATCGGCGACGTGTCCTCTGTGCTGATTGTTTTGGGTTGAGGGCACGCTAACTGCTGACCCAGCCAACTGGCTTACGACTTCAGCAACAACTTGCAAGCTCCGTTAGCAGTAGTTGTTGGCGCAGGGAGCCGCGCATACAGCATGTACTGTGTGATGCCAAAAGGAGCCCCACGAACTGCGAAGCGCAGTGGGAGGCTGCCTTTGGAGGGGCCGCACACGGATGTCGAAGTTATATTGGCAATCAAAAATAGGACAGAACCAGGAAAAAGGAAAACCAGCTGGAATGCTGGGCTATGTGGCTGTTGGCAGCGTGAGTAAGGCTTGCAAGAAAATACTATGTGCCTATACCCTGTCTGCTTGAGTGTATGGCGGGATAACGTACAGACAAGAATCTCCAGCCGCCAGCCATCTTCAGTAGCCCAAGGGCCAAAGAGCTGTAAGAGCATGAAGAATGCCCTCGCAGTTTGTAGGTGCCGTGCAAATTTCGAGTTCATTAGGCTCCTGCAAATCGGAACTGGGCCCCAGCTTGGCCACCATCACGTCAGTTGGATTCGGTTATGTGCTTTTGACACGGCAGGAGGAAATTACTGCAGAAGACAAGATATTGCACACTGAAAAATGTTTGTGGGAGAAACGTTCTGTTGCATTCGCCCCTAGTCTTTTTTTTTCCGTTTCATGAACTTTCTTCAGCCCACAGATATTGCGACAGCTTTTCCAAAACACCTTGGCCGCTAAGCGCCCTGTGGCCTGTCGACCAGTACAATGGGTGCTGCGCAGTACGGCGCCCTTTGCTGAGCAACCAGCCCCAGGCTTGGGATCAGATTGTTCACAGTTGAGAAGGGGCGACAGTGTGTGCCTTTGTATGGGGTGTGTGTGGAGTGTGGGTGGGGTGGGGTGGGGGTTTGGGGGTTTGGGGGGTAGTCAGGAAACTCACCGGTGAACCTCCAGAGAAAGCAGCGACCCAGTTGCCTGCAGGCCCCAAATTCCCACCATAAGATGCAAAAGAAATGAAGGCTACAAGAGCCGACTCTCCTGCCTGGCCCCTGCTCAGGGCTTCCAGCGACGGTTTGTGTCCATTAGAAATCCCACACAAGGGACCTGGGGACCCCAAAAGGCCAATATCCAGTAGAACGCTGATGTCCACAACATATTGGGACGACTCGAGTAAGGAAACGCCAGACCTTGAGTACTCGGGATAAAGCAGGATTGAAAATTCCTTGAAAGTGCTTACCCTTCACACGAATGTTGGCCGGTTTGGAGAAATTGATTCACGAATCCAACAAAGGCCAGAAAGTGATAGGTTGTCGACACCAATGCCGAGCCAATTTGTCTGGACTCTTTCGCTGAGATGAAAATGATTTGACATAACCGCCTTCAAATATGGGTACCCAGCAATATCACTGGAAGGGCAGAGTCCTTGACCTTCATCAGTACTAAGCAGTGAATCTATGTATCAAAATAATTGCATGGACTTACATTAACTGCCGATGATCATTTGGACAACAAATTTCAAATCTGCTTGCGTTGTGTAAATCAATGACGTGTAGCTCAATGAAACGGTTGCAGCTAGATCAGCATGAACCTTCCTTATTCATGAATTTTTTTCCTGCAAGAGTAGTGATGTTGAGCAAATGTTCAATATCATTAATAGTGTCGCATGTCATGGAACCACAACTGTTGATCTCAACTGCCCAAACTTGCAAAACGCAAAATATTTCAGTTATTTTTCAGTTATTTGCACTTTTCCTTGCAGACAGCAACAGATTTCTGATCACCATGGTTGTGTTTAAGCTCACAATGCAACAACTGAAATGGTGTCGTTTTGTGGTGGCGACAAAGCATCAGGTTTATATATGTGGCCCTCGCACACATGGTCGCAGGACCCGGAGCTGACCCCAGAGCGAAGGTGGGATAGGGCATGCACCTCCTTCAGGCAATTTAATTTCTGTCTCTCACTTCTGCGCATTGCATCCTGCCAAGCTATTTTTGGTGGTAGACTTGGATGCACATCATGTGCCTCGCTGCATGCAAGGACAAATGCAGTATTGTTGATTCTTGAGTTTTGGACTCACTTAACAATAAGTCAGGTCTGACTTACTGTGCTGTCGAAGGCCTCCGTGTGCGAATGCCCTACGGGCTGGTGAGTCAAGCCTTGCCACTTGTATTCTACCACAAGCGTCCAGTCCAGAGCCCAATAATAAAGGCTCCGCCGAAAACAACACACCCAACTGAGACTCCCAACAAGAAGATGCATACAATGTGCTTCCAGTGAATAAGCACCTCAGAGGGTTGCGTCACTGGCTGCCTAATCACAACACCCTCCTGACGACCCTGACGGCGCTTTTCCGATTCAGCTTGCCACAGAGCGCTGACACGGTACCTAAGGGATCGCAGTACAATCCCTGTGTTCTCAAGGAGTCCAACACCACCAGGCATCCACCTTTTCAACTCAGCGCTCACACTGACCAGGAACTCCCTCTCAAACTGGTAGATCTGCAGTAGGAAACGCGATAGAAAATCAGAGAACAGCAGGGCTGAATTGGTGGCAGCGAGGGGACCAACAATCTGCCAGGAATTCCAGAAGACCCACAGAATTGCTCTCTCCAGCTCCAGCTCTGCAGGTGACGACTCTTCTCGCTCTCTCATAGTCTGTTTTCTCAATACTAACAGGTCATCATGGTATTGTACAACTTCCAGTATGATGCAGCTGTCAACGAGCCTCCTTGGTAACTTCCGCACAGCTCTCACACTCCCTCACCACAATTTCTTGAACAGAAGTAAACACCTCAGCTCCAATACCCTCCTCAGCTCTGCCTTCAGGACGCTTTCTTCTCAACACTCCTGGAAGCCGCCTCTTGGTGTCTTTCTCGCTTTCTTCACTCGCAGAGAAATCATATGCCTCACCAGCCACAACCTCGACAAACTCCCTCCAGCTGTCTCTGATTTTCCTGACGTCTTCTTGCCCCAACGATTCACTTGTTCGCCCTTTAGGAAGATCCTCAGGCCTCTTTTTCACAGGTGCACCAGGTGGTGTCACGGGTCTTGCTTCGCAGGAGGCGCTTCTTCACCGGTCGTCTCTTGGCGCCTGTCAGAACATCCCCTCGTTGCCAGCCGTCCGATGCCTCGCTTCGCAGTTGATGTCCAGCGCAGGCCAATGCCACGACTCCCTTCGCCGCCCTCCAAAACTTTGAAACTTTGTCCAGTTTGTCTCCAGCGCCTCGGGAGGCTCCGCGAAGCTTTGCCACCGTTGCGCACTGGTCGCTGACCAGGAAACTTCTTCCAGACCTCCTCGCAATCAAACCGCAGGTAGCAAAGAAGTCGCAAGACAGCTGCCAGTGCTCCGCCTCGTTTCCTGGCACAACAGCGTTAAACACGCGGCTCGAGCATGGCACAGCCGGACGCAGCTGCTAGACGGCAGGGCTGCAACGTCTCTCACGTCGTGAACACTCGGCACGGTCTCGACGCACTTGGAAAACAGCTCACACCATACCCACAGCTGCGCACAGCTTGGGAGGTCCTTGGATCAGCACACGGTTGCCTCGCGAGGCGTTCCTAACGGTGCAAATGTGGCTCGAAGCCTTTACACGACCAACCGTCCGTCCTGCTTTCCCTCACAGCGCCGCCCCTGGCCTCGCCAAGAATAAACAATCAATTGTCACACTCTACAAATAGCCCAAGACACTTCCTCGTACCGCCAAGGTATTGGGGAATGTTACTGGCTCATATCAGATCAATTCAAGTCCCAATGTACAGCGGAAAGGCAGTACAGCTGCCTGGCAGTTTCTAAATCACTTGACATCGGTTTCAACCGGTTCAAAAACCACTCACCTCCAGTCCGACGTAAGTTGACTCAAAACCCATCAAATCTTATCGGAAAAATACCAGTGTATTATCATAAGAATACTCCAGACGACATACCAACGTTCCCCATAATCCACAGAGTCCGTACCTCACCTCGAGCACTATCATGAACTGATCCAGTTCAACTGAATTCCAATGTTATTGAATCTGCCTGATATTTCCCTTCACATTTCTCAGGCAATATGACCAGAAATGATCAAAACTATCAGAAGTATTGCCCAATTCATTGTTGAGTCGTCCCTTAGATTTGATTTCATTAGTGCTGCAAATTACATCATGTCCCGTTATCACTCTTGACAGCATTCACCACACCCGTCCAGTACTCATCACACAGCTGCTCAAACACCCCCTTTCGATTAGGCCTTAATTCATAAAATTACACTCTTTTGCCCCGCATGTACAAGCCCACTCTAACGTCACTGAATCCACATAATTTCCCATCAAGTTCACGTTTTTATATTAAAGTCATTACAGCTGCGAACTCC